AAGGAGCAGTTGCCGATGATTCCTGAACAGGGGTGATATGAGCAACACTGGCCATGAAGGCAGCTCCTCTGGCGTTGACAGTGGATGGATCAGAAGCAGGAATGTCTGGGGATGAGGAGGACAGTGATGGGGTTACTGAATTTGCATCCAGAGTCTTTACAAATGCCCTTCCCTTTGGCCCAGCAAGTCTGCTTATGGGAGTATATCCCAAGGAAACGATGGAACTAGTGCTTAAATGTGATGAAGATAAAGATGTTCTTAATAATGTTGTTCATTATGAAAATTGGAAACATAACAACATGGGCAAGTCTTATCCAAAGAAAATAGTTTGTAGCCATTAAAAATGATTTTGAACAGAGTATTTGACCTTCTGGAGAGATGCTTACAATATGTTGTTCACTGAAAGGAATCAAGTTAAAAAGAGTATGTTATTTATATATGAACAGAACTTCTGCTACAAGTAGTACTCATTTGTAGAAGATTTACAAATATGATGAACATTTTGAAAGTTATGTGTAAAAATAAGAGTAATGATTTCTGGTTAAGTGGAATTCCCTGCTTTTTCTGCATGTCAGGAATTTCTATGTACAGTTCCTTAGGAAGTAGTTGTCAAGAGCTTAGATTCTGGAGTTGTACAGGCCTAAGCTAATAGTCAATCCTGAAGGAAATCAACTCTGAATATTCACTGGAAGGACTGATGCTGAAGCTAAAGCTCCAATACTTTGGCCACCTCATGGGAAGAGTCAACTCGTTGGAAAAGACCTTGATGCTGGAAAAGATTGAAGGCTAAAGGATAAGGGGGAAACAGAGGATGAGATGGTTAGACAGCCTCACTGACTCAATGAACATGAATTTGAGTAAACTTTAAGAGATAGTGAAGGACAGGGAAGCCTGGTGTGCTGCAGTCCATGGCATCGCAAAGAGTCGGACATGACTTAGTGATTGAACAACAATGACAAAACTAATATTCTAGCTCTGATGCTTACTGGTTGTGTGTCTTTGGGCAAGTTACTTAGCTTCTCTGGGCTTTCATTTCTCCTCTGTAAGATGTGGGTAAGAGTTGGCTTTGCCAGGTGTGAGGGAGGATTTAGTGAGCTAATACTATACAGGCAACATCTCAGCACATGTGCTGATACATAATAAGTGCTTAAGAAATATCAGTATCATTAATGTCATGTATTTTAGATGAATGTATGAAAGTTAAACTGTTAGTTTCTCAGTTGTGTCCAGCTCTTTATGACCCCATGGAATGTAGCCCGCTAAGCTCCTCTGTCCATGGGATTCTCCAGGCAAGAATACTGGAGTGGATGGCCATTTCCTCCTCCAGGAGATCTTCCCAACCCAGGGATTGTAGCTGGATCTCCTGCATTGCAGGCAGATTCGTTACCATCTGAGCCACCAGGGAGATCCCTGGATAAGCAACAAGGTCCTACTGTGTAGCATAGGTGGCTATATTTAATATCCTATGATAAACCCCGGGTTGGGAAGATCCCCTGGAAGAGGGCATGGCAACCACTTCAGTGTGCTTGCCTGGAGAATCCCCATGGACAGAGGAGCCTGGCGGGCTGTAGTCGATGGGGTTGCAAAGAGTCAGACACGGCTGAGTGACTAAGCGCATGAAGTACGTGATAAACCATAATGGAAAAGAACATGAAAAAGAGCACATATGTATAACTGAATCACTTTGCTGCTCAGCAGAAATTAACACAACATTGTAAATCAACCATACATCAATAAAATTTAAAAAAAAGAAAAGAAGAGGAAGATCAAAGAATCGCGTGTTCAGCTCATCAGGGCCATCTCCCAGTTGCTGAGGTTTTGGTTCTGAGCCAAGCATGGTGCTTCCCTGCCTGGCTTCACTGGATTCTCACAATGATCGTTCTCGGCGAGGAGATAACGCCTCGTTTTACAGATGGGGAAACTGAGGTTTGGAGCCGTGTAGTAAGCTCTGAGAAGGCCTATGGCAGGAGAAGGGTGGAGCCAAAATTCCAATCAGATCTGTCTGAGGTCAAGTGAAAGTTACTCAGTCATGTCTGACTCTTTGCGACGCCATGGGCTATACAGTCCATGGAATTCTCCAGGCCCAGAACACTGGAGTGGGTAGTCTTTCCCTTCTCCAGGGAAATCTTTCCAACCCAGGGATCGAACCCAGGTCTCCCAAATTGCAGGCAAATTCTTTACCAGCTGAGCAACAAGGGAAGCCTAAGAATACTGGAGTGGGTAGCTTATACCTTCTCCAGGGGATCTTCCCAACCCAGGAATTGAACCGGGGTCTCCTGCATTGCAGGCGATTCTTTACCAACTGAACTAGCAGGGAAGCCTGTCTGAGGTCAAAGGCCAAAGGTTTTGGCTGAATTAGTCACTGCAGAGTTCAGAAGGAGGGAGGCGGTGGAGACAAGTTGGTAAAGGCCAGAGCAGGTGCAGGAGGCGGCGTTGGACATGGTGAGTAAATATATAGCAGAGAGGCAGGGGCCACTGGGTAGAAGTGTGGTATAAATATATATATATATTCAGCCAAATAAAAAATATAGATATATTTACTCAACCATAAAAAGAATGAAGTCATGTCATTTGTAGCAACATGGATAAACCTAAGAGATAACCATACTAAGTGAAGAAAGTCAGACAAATACCATGTGAAATCACTTATATGTGGAATCTCAAATACAACACAAATGAACATATATCTATGAAACAGAAACAGACTCCCAGATACAGAGCCCAGACTTGTGGTTGCAGAAGAAAAGCTGGTGTCCAGACTCTTCCTTGATAATTGTGGATGAATGCTGGATGATTCCATGTGCTTAATTTTCTAAGAACTAAGGTTGGTGGACGAGTTGCCAAGTACAGGAATATTTTTTAGAGAGTGATTGGAATTTAGAATTCTTGAACTAAAAATAGCCCGTGACTAGAATTCACCAAGAACTCAGATGACCTGTTTCCTAAAGAAATGGGATGTCCACATCACCTTGCAAAACCCCCACTGCGCACATGTCCACATGGTGAGTTGGAATTCTGTCTCAGTTCTCTGTGCACTGGTCGTCTTGTCTTTAGTTAGCTGTGGCCTTCAGTGACTTCTCTTTAATAAAAGACTTTTTTATTAGGGAAAATGTCCAGTATATACAAAGTAAGCAGAATAGTGTAATGGATCCCTGTATCTCATGTGGCTCAGCGGTAAAGAACCCGCCTTCAGTGCAGGAGACAGAGGAGACATGGGTTCGATCTCTGGGTTGGGAAGATCCCCTGGAAAGGGAAATGGCAACCCATTCTAGTGTTCTTGCCTGGATAATTCCATGGACAGAGGAGCCTGGAGGGCTACAGTCCATGGCTTCAGGAAGAATCTGACACAAGGGAACATGCACACATGGATATATCCGCATCCCCCAGCATCACCAAATACCCTGCAAAACCTGTCATTCTTGTTTCCTCTATACCTCCTTCCCTACTCCACTCTACCACTCAATGATGATCATTTTTTTATGGTTCTTTTTTTTATGAGGTAAAATTTACAAGCATTGAAATACTGAAAATCTTTGCTTTACACTTTTGACAACTGGATACACCCAGGGAACCCACATTCCCATCACAATATGGAACACTCCTGCCTTCCCAGGTAGTTCTTTTGATCTCCCTCTTCCCTAGACAACCCCTGATCTGATTTATTTCAGCTTTGATTAATTCTGCCAGTTCCAGAGCTTTCTGTAAATGGAAACATATTATAGTAGACACTCTTCTGTGACTGTCTTCTTTCGTGCAGAACTGTATCTGTGAGATTCATCCATCTGGTTGCCTGTACTGGTAGCTTGTTCTGTTTTCTGGCTGAGTGGTATTTGATTACATGAATGTACCGCAGTTTGTTTATTCATTCACCAGTTGACGGACAGCTGGCTTGTCTCCAGTGCTGGGCTATTGTGAATACAGCTGCTATGAATATTTGAGTACAATTCTTTAAAAAAATTTTTTTTAAATCAGAGTATAGTTGTTTTAAAATATTGTGTTAGTTTCTGCCTGTGTGAATGCTAAGTCACTTCAATTGTGTCCGACTCTTTGTGACCCTATGTGCCATAGCCCACCAAGCTCCTCTGTCCATGTGATTCTCCTGGCAAGAATACTGGAGTGCGTTGCCATTTCCTTCTTCCAGGGATTTTCCCAACCCAGGGACGGAACCCAAGTCTCCCCTGTCTCCAGCATTACAGGAAGATTCTTTACTGCTGATCCACCAGGGAATCTGTCTCTGCAAATGGCACAATTTCATTTCTTTTTATGGCTAATATTCCATTATATATATGTACCATATCTTCTCTATCCATTCCTCTGTTGATGGATGTTTAGCTTGTTTCCATGTCCTGGCTACTGTAAATAGTGTTGCAGTAAGCACTGGGGTGCATGTATCTTTTGGAATTAAAGTTTTTTCCAGGGGTTTGCCCACGAGTGGGATTGCTGGGTCGTATGTTAGTTCTACTTTTAGTTTTTTAGGAGCCTCCAGACTGTTCTCCATAGTGGCTGTATCACTTTGCACTCCCACCAACAGTGTAGAAGGGTTCCCTTTTCTTCACACCCCCTCCAGCATTTGTTGTCTGTAGATTTTTTGTTGATGGCCAGTCTGACCAATGTGAGGTGATACCTCATTGTCATTTTGACTTGCATTTCTCTAATAATTAGTGATGTTGAGCATCTTTTCCTGTTGAGCCTCTTAGCCATCCTGACATCTTCTTTGGAGAAACATCTGTTTAGGTCTTCTGCCTACTTTTTGATTGGGTTGTTTGCTTTTTTGATGTTAAGCTGCATGAACTATTTGTATGTTTCAGAGATGAAGCCCTTGTCAGTTGCTTCATTTGCGAATATTTTCTTCCAGATCTGATCCTGGCAGCTGCTCCCTCACCCCTCCCCACTTTGTGGGGGACTCTGAGGCCCAGGCCTCGGCTCCTCTCGGTTGCTGCCCAGCCCACGGAGGTTGTGCGTCTGGGGGTCAAGCCCACCTGGTCCTCTCTTCCCTACAGATATTGGCCCGGTGACCCTCACGTCGGACCCAGCGGTGTTTCAGAGGGAGCTGAGAGAGCTCTATGTGCAGGTGGGCGGCCCCGCGCCTGGCTTCTGGCCCCCTGTGCCCTTCGTCCCAGACCATGCCAGAGGCCCAGGTTATTGCCACACCTAGGGGCCGAGGTGGTGCTTCCTACAGTGACCTGCCACCCAACTCTGCCTGGGGCGCCCCCTCAGCTTGGAGGTCCTGGAGATTCTGTACTGCTTGGGGTTCCTTCCTTTATTCAGTGACCAAATACCTACAGGAGCCCCTGTGCCTGGCACCTAGTAGGTCTTATTATTGACCGCATGGATGCAGGGGTGGGAGGAGGGGGTATATGACAGCTAAGGGAAGATGTATGCCTGCTAAGTCGCTCAAGTGTGTCCTACTCTTTGCGACCCCATGGACTGTAGCCCACCAGGCTCCTCTGTCCATGGGATTCTCCAGGCAAGAATACTGGAGTGGGTTGCCATGCCCTCCTCCAGGGCATCTTCCAGACCCAGGGATGGAACCTGTGTCTCTTATGTCTCCTGCATTGGCAGGTGAGTTCTTTACTACTAGCACTGCCTGGGAAGCCCAAGGGAAGGTGCAAGAGAGGTCAGTTCAGACCCCCAAACCCAGCCCGAGACTGGGTCAGACATCCCATGGCTACCAGGGCTTTTTGGCCATGCTGAACACCCTGGTCCAGCCTCTGTTTTCCTCCTGCCAGCTTCCTGAATGTAGGGCGTTCTCTGATGTGTCCAGCTCACTGCCAAGTCCCCCAGGGCCCAGAACAGGGCCCGGCACACAGAACGAATGAGTGAACCAGGAGAGAAGATTTACTGAGGTTACCTTGTGCACATCCTGATTCTGATGCTGGATGTGCAAACCTGGGGAGGCAGAAAGCTCCCGGCTTGGGAGTGGGGAGGGAGGGCTGTGTGTTTATTTGGGATTGACTCCAAGGTGGGTTTGGTTTTCCCAGTGATATCACTTCCCAGCTCAGTGATAATGAACCCACCTGTCAATGTAAGAGACTTGACTTCAATCCCTGGGTCCGATCCCTGGGTCAGGAAGATCCCTTGGAGAAGGAAATGGCAATCCCCTCCAGTATTCTAGCCTGGGAAATCCCATGGACAGAGGAGCCTGGCGGGCTACAGTCCATGGAGTTGCAAAGAGCTGGACACGACTGAGTGACTGAGCATGCAGGCATGCACCAGGGCAGGTTAGAGAGAAGGCTTGACAAGGCAGCTTTGAATGTTTCCCTCTGCCCACCCCTATCCCTCCTTCCCTGGTGAGCCTTCTACCCCTCTGTCCTCCAAACCGTGGCTCACTCATGCCCTCTTTGGTGTACCTGTTAGATGCTTCCGTGGCTCCATCCTTCGTCCCCCACTTGTAGCACTCGTCACCATGATGATTAAATAACTGTGTCATGTTTATTAATGTAAAGTCTGCCTCCCTGCCAGACTCCATGGGAAGGAGGGACCATGCTCCTCAGGCATGAGTGAGTGAATGAAGAAATGAATGAATGAATGATAGATGACGCAGGTGTGTCTCAGGGAGGGGTTTGGGGCCCCTGGACAGGTGGGACAGAAGCCACTGAAGGGGACGCCACCCCCCCCAGGGCGGGTCCCACCTGGAGGAGGTGGGTGGCAGCTGCTGACCTGCCCTGTCCTCCAGGGAGGCGGGGACTGCCCAGAGATGAGCTTGGGGGCCATCAAGGCTGCCGTGGAGGTGGCCAACCCCGGCTCCTTCATCTACGTCTTCTCGGACGCCCGTGCCAAGGACTACCACAAGAAGGACGAGGTGCTGCGGCTCCTGCAGCTCAAACAGTCGCAGGTGAGCTACCAGCAGGGGCTCTGGGGGCCACTGGGGTCTCCGAGGGCAGCCCCGAGCCCCCGCCGGGAGAGCGGAGCTGGGGCTTCTCCTGCACAGCCTGGGTTCCAGTCCGCACCAGCCTCATTGGCCAGCCCACTGGTGGAGCCGGGCTGCGAAGTCCAAGTGTGTTCTCATGCTCCGGCCCCGCCCTCGGGGCTCACGCCTCCCTGGCGGGGGCCCACTTTTAATACAGACCACAGCACTCCTCCGCTGCCTTCACACCCTGTCCAAGTCTGGGCGATCCATCTTCCTCCTGGCATCTCCTCTGCTCCCCGTCTGTCATTCTTCACCCACTGTCTCAGGGTCTGGAAGATGCGTTGGGGCTTTGGCTCCTGGCTGTCACAGCGAGCGGTGGGGGAGGCAGGGGTGGGGCGGGGCTGCAGGGAGGAATCCCTGGGGAAGACCTCAAGAGCTGGGACTCCTCTCTGGATGGGAAAACTCCTTTGTTCTCTCATCTAGAAAAAACGCGGGTTCTCCAAGGTTCTTCTAGCTCTGCAGCGTCCGGGGGCCACTTGGAGCAGAGTCGATTTCACTCCCTCCCTTGTAGATTTCATAATGGCTCCTACTGTATTCCTGGCCCTGTGATGGACACGTGACCTGCATCCATCCTAACCCCCACGGGGCAGGAACTCTCATCATTCACATTTCACAGGTGGATCACCCGAGCCCAGAGAGACGACAGGGCTTCCTCCGGGTCACTCCCCCTTGGTCTGGCTGCCCCGCCCCACTCCATTCACACCGAAGGTGGTGAGGACGCCATGAGCCAGGCTGCCCGTCTGTCTTCTAGGTTGTCTTCGTGCTGACGGGGGACTGTGGTGACCGCACCCACCCTGGCTACCTGGCCTACGAGGAGATCGCTGCCGCCAGCTCCGGGCAGGTGTTCCACCTGGATAAGCAGCAGGTGACCGAGGTGAGCCTGCCCCGACATCCCCATGTCCCTGGGCGGCTCTGCCCGTCGGCTGGCTTCCAGGAGCAGTGCTGAATGCTTGTCTCACAGCAGGAAGCCTGGTGCTCAGGGCTTTGTGACTTCATCTTGTAGAACCCTCTCAGTCAGCCCCCAAAAGTAGGTGCTGCAGGTATTTCAGTTTTTCTGGTAAAAATGTCTGGGGCCTGAAGGAATATCCTGGGTTTTAAACCTGGGATCCCCAGCAAGTCCAGGCTGGCAGGATGGATCTAGCAAAGCTCGGCAGAGTAGGGATGTTAAGGGGAGCTTCTCTCCAGAGTCGAGGGGCCCAGGGGTGGCTGGAAGATCACCAGGGCCGCCAGATTCAGGCTGTGTTGCTGGGACAGCAAGCTGTGCTTGGGGACTTGGCAGGGAGGGGCTTGCTTGACACACTGTGGCCCGACATGCAGGGCCGCTGATGGCCCAGCTGACCGGGCGTCTGTCCTGGTCTCGGTCTTGGAGCAGGAGCCCCGCCTCCCTCCCCTCCAGGGCTCCATCACTTGCTCAGATCTCTCCCAGTTCTCCCTCTGCCCCGCACGTCCATTCCTCCCCAGGAGCCAGAGGCATCCTTCCAGTGGCATGCTGGTAAATGTTTCACGACCATCTCTCTCTGGAAGGAATAAGAATGCCCATTTCCCCGGTGTAAACACTCCTACTTGGGCTGGTTTCAAGCCACCGTCATAAAGTCATAGAGCATGGGAAGTGATGCTTGTAATCTGCCGTCTTGGGCCTGTGTGAGCCAGCTCCTACATCCCACCAGATCCTCTAAAACTAATTCGACCAACAGGCCCCTCCACGTAGTGCCCTGGGGAAGGTCCAGACGCTGATCTGAGTTCTGCCTCTCCCAGCACATGGCCTGTGTTTCCCCGCTTGCCTGCTGCTGCTGCTGCCTCTCCGCTCTTTCTTCCATGTCCTGTGTCTTTTCTACCTCAGGGCCTTTGCTCGTGCGGCTTCTTTTTCCAGCTCCTCCCCCCCAGTTCCTCATCTTTCCAGTCTGAGTGGAATCACGCCTGCCTTGATTTTTGTCAAGATTAAGTCTCCTTTCATACCCCCTCGGAGCTCCCTGGGGGGCTTTATATAATCATAATTTTACAACCGTGTGATTATTTAATGCTGTTAGGCTGTGAGATCCCCGAGGGCAGGGCCCTTAAGGTCCCATTTACGACTGTGTCCCCAGCACCTGGCGCAGCCTCCAGCGTGGAGCAGGTGCTTGCTGAGTCGATGGAGACAGACACCTGGCGAATCGATGACGTGGGGTCCCTCGGGCTGGAGGGGGAGGAGAGTGGGAGGAACACTCCCAGTTTGAGGCCACTGCGGCGCGGCCTCCCGCCAGCCCGTGTGTTGTGTATTTTCGTCTCCAGGGCCGTGTTTAGGTTAGCGCCTTGGCTCCCTGTTGACAGATGGCGTTTATGGTTCTCTGAGACACGCCAGGATTTATTTCTTTTGGCATGTCAGCCTGCTCTGGCACCGAGCCGCCCAAGCGAGGGTGGGAAGCATTTCAGAGTGGAGTGATGGCTTGGTCCTTGTTTGGGGGTGCATCTTATCTGGGCAGTTGCTCAGGAACTGGGTTCCTGCCAGGGGTCAGTCAGATGCCAGGCAGCAGGTGAGTTGGTGGAGGACGGCTTGCTCAGGTGTGGCGCTGGACTCTCCGAGCCTCTCACTCGAGACATGGAATCTGGGGCGATCCCCTGGCTCCTGGCCTTGGTGCCCGCCTTCTGCTGTGGGAGCCTGGCTGGGCAGCACCTGTCTGATGTACTGGGATCTCCAGTGGCCAGGCCTGGTTGCCCCTGGCTAGGGGCCTGGGTCCCTCCCCTCCCTGCAAAGAGTGCCATCATCTGTTAGCTTCATGCCTTGTACCTGGCCCCTTCCAGATGTCCCCAGACATTTGGCAATGATCCCCACCAACCTCCACCCCCAGGAGAGAGGAAGCGGTGCCTTTGCCTGGCTAGAAGCTGCCAAAGTGCCCACACCCTGCCTGTTTGTCCTTTGACCTTTTCAGAGTCTGGTGTGCCAGGAGTGGCACATTTTTTTTTTTTTCCATTTATTTTTATTAGTTGGAGGCTAATTACTTTACATCATTGCAGTGGTTTTTGTCATACATTGAAATGAATTAGCCATGGATTTACATGTATTCCCCATCCCGGTCCCCCCTCCCACCTCCCTCTCCACCCGATCCCTCTGGGTCTTCCCAGTGCACCAGGCCCGAGCACTTGTCTCATGCACCCAACCTGGGCTGGTGATCTGTTTCACCCTAGATAATATACATGTTTCAATGCTGTTCTCTTGAAACATCCCACCCTTGCCTTCTCCCAGAGTCCACAAGTCTGTTCTATACATCTGAGTCTCTTTTTCTGTTTTGCATATAGGGTTATCGTTACCCTCTTTCTAAAGTCCATATATATGTGTTAGTATGCTGTAATGGTCTTTATCTTTCTGGCTTACTTCGCTCTGTATAATGGGCTCCAGTTTCATCCATCTCATTAGAACTGATTCAAATGAATTCTTTTTAATGGCTGAGTAATATTCCATGGTGTATATGTACCACAGCTTCCTCATCCATTTGTCTGCTGATGGGCATCTAGGTTGCTTCCGTGGGAGTGGCACACTTTGCACTCACTTTTCTCTTTGTTAATTGAGCACCTGCTACACGCCGGGGCAGCTTTAGGTGCAGGACGCCAAGAGATAATCCATCAAGCGCACATCTCATGCTTTCAGGCATTTACCTTTCTCTGCATGAGATTCTGGAGTAACAAAAGGAAGGTGAAGATCCTCCCCCCGCTAGCAGAGGTATTTTGGAGTTTTGCCATCCTTCGATGGCCAGTGGGGGTGGGCATTAACCAGGGGAAAAGCGAACTGCCCCCTGAGACAGTGAGCGGGGAGGGGGCGGGAAGGTGGAATTAACAGGTGAGGAGACACAGGCCCTGGAGGTGACCCCGCCCTGGATCCTTCTCTGGGGAGGCGGGGTGGGGGGGGTGTCAGGTCACATGCTGGCTTCAGACTCCTCTCCAGCTCTGCCACCTGTCTGCTCTGAGACCTTGAGCATGGCGCTTGACCTCTGTGGGCCTCCGTTTCCTCATGTTCACAGCTGGGTCATGAGGGCCCCTGCCTGGAGAGATGGTGGCGAGGGTGGGAGGAAGACCCAGCCTTGGGAGGGAGCCCTGAGTGAGAATTAGTGGTAGCCATGGGATCTCCAGCCCCGTGCTTCGATAGGGAGTACAGAATACACACTCCCAGAGGTCCAGGGAGCCCCCCTCAAGATTAAGAGCTCTCTCGGGATAAGGTTCTCAGGAAGGTAGAGCCTGGGGACAGTGCCCCGTGATGCCCAGTTGGCAGAGGCCCTCGATTTTCTGATCTGTGGCTCTTGAGGTCCATTCAGTGACCACTCCACCCCCCCATCCTGCCTCACTGCCCCAGCTTCCTCAGCCTCTCTGGCTGTTGGATGTCTGGGAGGAGCCTTGGTTGGGGGTGGTGGTGGTGGTGGTGATTTATCTGCTGTGAAGGGCTGAGCGGCAACCATCTGGCCAGGGTAGCAGCGCCAGATTCTCTCATTCCTTCCCCATCAGTGACAGAGAGACGAGACCCAGCGCATTGCTGGCTCCTAGGCCCCTGGTCCTGCTGACATCTGGAAGTCATTACCTTCGCAAATAAACATTAAGCCTGCTTGATGAAGCCTCTCTGCTCAGGAGTGTCCCTAGATTCCTCTCTGAGCCCCGGAGCCATCGCCAGGTCCAGCAGGCTTTGCCCCCAGGCCCGGGCCTGCTGGGGTCTGGCCTTGCTGTGGGGTCAGAGGGTCTGCACCCCCAGCTCTGGAGTGGCGATGTGTTACAGGGCAGCCTTTGTGGATGGGCTGCCTCCTGATGGGGTCGCTGGCCTTCTGGCCCATCTCAGCCCTCTCTCCGTGGCGTGGTTCAGTAGCATGAGCTCTTGGGCATCTTCTCTCCATCAAAACATCCTAGAAAGAGCTGGTCATGACAGTTGCAACACAGTAGCGGGTGTGGGATGCGTCTGGGTAATTGTCAGATGGTGCTGCCACCACCACCTGCCGGCTTTGCTTGGTTATGATTTCCTCCTGACCCCTGACAAGGCCTGGCCCTGGGCGAAGGGGACAGTGGTCACAGAGCTGTTTCTTTGCTCTGGGGGAGCTGCCTCACTTACTTGGCCAGCTTCTGTCTGCCTTTCTAGCTGGGAGCCTTGGCTGCTACGTCCCGTCCACCCCCGCATGGACAAATAACCTTGCCCTCATTTCTTAACCCGAACAGGTGGGATCTTTTTAAGAGAAACATTATTTAGAAAGTCAGGCAAAAACAGAAGAATAAAGTAGCTCCAAATGTAAAAACAGAAGAGTTTCAGAACACAGGATTCTTGTCCCGTGATAACTGAAATCTTGCTGTAAAATCTAGGCACATGTGTTTCAGCTCGGTCTCATCAAAACGTAGTCACTTTCCAAATCTCGAGCAGTTCTTCCAATTCCCTTCTGTTCCCTTTCTCTTCCATGGAAGATCACGTGGTAGGCAGAACTGAAGGACTGTGATTTAGAGCGAGGATGACCAGTATGTAGCATGCCAGACACTATTTTCTAATTCCATATCCGTGGCAGACATTGCTAATCAATTACAGACCTTTTTCTAATTGAGTCTGAATGTGGCTTCGCATTTCTCCAAATGGCATTCCAAGAAGTCACTTCCAGTTGATTAGAGCTGGCAAGCGACAGGAGAGCACTGTGGTTGCTCAGGTATATTTTAAAGTCATACTTGTAAACATATACTCGTTCCTTTTAGATGATTTTTACTTAAAAATTTCCCATGAGATGTGTCAGATATTGAAAAGTAAAAAAAAAAAAAAAAGTACTATCAAGATTTAGCAATTCACATTTTTGCTCCAGCTGCTACATCTCTCTCTTTCTATACTTTTTGTTGAATCATGACACCGTATCCATAAATAATTCAGTGTGGATCAAAAAAAAAATAGACTCCAGCATAACCCATAGTATCACCTAATATAATGAATAGTACTTTGCAAGTATCATCTGATGCCAAGTCCATATTTAAATTTCTCTATTTGTCCTCAGGATGTTAAATCAGGTTTTAATCAAGGGCTGTGCACTTTATGGGGTTGTTATGTCTGTTAAGTTTCCTTAAATCTGGAGGGGATCCATCCTTTTTTCAGGCCACTAACTTGTTGGAGAGGCGTTGATTATGCCATGGCCTGTGTTCTGGATTCATCTGATCGCTTCCTTATGGTGTCCCATAAGTGGTCTCCCCACTTGTGCCTTTACTTCCTCTAAGCTGGAAAGTGAAAGTGTTAGCTACTCAGTGGGGTATCCGGCTCTGTGCGACCCCATGGACTGTAGCTCGTTAGATTCCTCTGTCCATGGAATTCTCCAGGCAAGAATACTGGAGTGGGTTGCCATGCCCCCACCAGGAGAACCTGGGTCTCTTGCACTCTAGGCAGATTCTTTACCATCTGAGCCTGGAAGTTAGCTTTAAATGACTATTCAGAAGGAGGCTGACCTTTGTGGCAGGAGTATTTCATCCTTGGTGCTCTGTGTGTGTTTTCTTTTGCATCATACCAGGAGGAAAATGATGTCTGATTGTCCCCATTACTGATGACCAGTTTGATCGGTTAAAGCAGTGACAGCCAGCTCTCTGCATGGCAGACCTTTGCTTTTTCCTTTCTGACCCAAGGGGTCGGTGGGGTCACTCTGGGGCTCTAGTTCCCCAGGAGCTTTTTCATCTCATGTTTTAGCATCTCATGTTTTAGCAAAACCATGTTTTAGCATTCACTGAGGATGCTTGCCTGAAACAATAATTTTATTAGGAGGTTGCAAAAAAATGATTTCCTAATTGCATCATTCCTTCCACATTTGTTAATGGGCGTTCTCCCACGAAGAAGAGCTTTTGCTTCTCCAAAGGGGTGATTTGGTTCCTCTGAAGTCACGGTTCCTACTGAAAAAATAGGGATCACACTTCTCTCTCTTTAATTAAGAATTTGCTTTTATTGGTGGCAAATGAGATTTTGTTGTTTTGAATTTTGATTTTCTTTTTTGAGTATTTTTGTGGCACCTAGATTACATGGTGCTTCCCCGGTGGCTCAGATGGTAAAGAAGCTGCCTGCAACGCAGGAGACCCGGGCTTGGTCCCTGGGTCGGGAAGATCCCTTGGAAAAGGGAATGGCTATCCACTTCAGTATTCTTGCCTGGAAAATTCCGTGGATAGAGGAGCCTGGCAGGCTACAGTCCACAGGGTGTCAAAGAGTCAGACAGGACTGAGTGACTAGCTTAGATTGTATAATTCGGTGTGGTTTGATTGATTATAGTCATTATTCTTTTGGAGGCTCAAAGTCTCCCACATTTAGCCAACAGGAGCTCCTTTATGCTGGTTCCGATGTCCTTCTGATAGGTCTCCATTACTCTTGTTTTTTGTCTTGTCACATAGCTTGCAGGATCTTAGATCCCTGACCAGGGATAAAACCTGTGTTCTCAGCTGTGAAAACTAGAGCCCTAACCACTGGCCCACCAGGGAATTCCCTGTCCCCATTAGTCTTTGAGACCTTCCTTGCTTTATGAAATTCAGTAGTCCTAGGCTTTCCTTGTATATTGCCTGCCCCAGACCAGAAATCAGCCATTTCTCCAAGGAACTCTGGGGGAAAACAGTAGTTAGAAACCACTGGGTTCTGAATTCACTTGGAATAAATTTATATTTAAAGAAAATCCTTGCAGCTCTCTCCGGGCCATAAGAGAAAAGTCTTGGTTGAGATTTCCTTCCTTGCTTTATCCTGCAAGAGACATAAAATGGTTTCACAACCACAATATAGCTAGTTCTGATTGTTATTATTGTTGTTCAGTTGCTAAGTCATATCTGACTCTTTGTGACTCCAATGGACTGCAGCACACCAGGCTTCCTTCCCTGTCCTTCACTGTCTCCTGGAGTTTGCCTAAATTTATGTCTATTGAGTCGGTGATGCCATCCAACCATCTCATCCTCTGTCACCCCCTTCTCATCCTGCCCTCTGTCTTTCCCAGCATCAGGGCCTTTTCCAGTGAGTTGACTGTTTGCACCAGGTGGCCAAAATATTACAGCTTCAGCTTTAGAATCAGTCCTTCCAATGAATATTCATGGTTGACTTTCTTTAGGATTGACTGGTTTGATCTCCTTATAGTCCAAGGGACTCTCAAGAGTCTTCTCCAGCACCACAATTCAAAAGCATCAGTTCTTCAGCACTCAACCTTCTTTATGGTCCAGCTCTCACATCCGTACCTGACTACGGGGAAAACCATAACGTTGACTGTATGGACCTTTGTTGGCAAAGTGATATCTCTGCTTTTGAATATGTTGTCTAGGTTTGTCATAGCTTCCCTTCCAAGGAGCAAGTATCTTTTAATTTCATGGCTGCAGTCACCATCCACAGTGATTTTGGAGCCCAAGAAAATGAAATGTCACTGCTTCCGCTTTTCCCCCTTCTATTTGCCATGAAGTGATGGGACTGGATTCCATGATCTTAGTTTTTTGAAAATTGAGTTTTAAGCCAGGTTTTTCACTCTCCTCTTTCACCTTCATCAAGAGGCTTTTTAGTTCCTCTTCACAGGTGACATAAAACAATTTCACAATCACAATACAACTAGTTCTGCCAACTGCCAACTGCTAAATAAAGGTTTCTTTGCACTTTCTTTTTTCGCCCTCAGGGTGGCTCTCACTGAGAAAGTATGTGGAACTCCTTGGTTTCTGATTGACTTGGAGCTAACCCTTTCCCTCATACTGGGGTTATGTTATCAATTTGTCGTACAGTCAGTCCACGTTTCATTTTGATTCTGTTTCAGGGTTTGCACAGGATGCTTCTTGACGTAACTTGCCTTGAAAAGAGGTGGTTCAAAACTGGAGAGGTTCCCCCCCTTCTTTTTTGTTTTCTTACTGGAACCTGGGTGGCTCAGCTGTTGCTGAAGAGGAGGTGTGAGCTGGGGTGGGGGGTGTGGCTGGAGCTGAGCATTTGTGAGATGAACTTGAGGACCCTGTTCAAAAGGTGTGTGCCCTGCGGCGTCACACACAGTGAGCGCGTGTCCTGAGCCCCTTATCCTGCCCAGTCGCTGAGCCTGGGACACAGCAGAGTCTCTGCCCTCATGGGACTCCCAGGCCAAGAGGGGTTACGGGTATGAATCTAACCAGGAGTTGGCTGCTGAGGAAGGGGCAGGGATTTCTGCAAAGAGAAGAGCATGTGGGGGGGGGGGAGCTGCCCAGGGGGCAAGGGACGGGGAGCCAGCCCGGCAAGCGTGGGGGGCATCAGGAGCATCATGAGCTTGGGTCAGGTTGAACGGGTGAACCAGAGAACACAGGGACTTAGAGACCATGGTAAGTCTTGGAGAAACAAGATAATTTTGTGCTTAGTAGAGACTGTCTTGGCGGGGATTTGAGAACCTCCTGAAATCATACTCTAAATGTGTGCCTAACTCGTAGGATGTTCTGAAGAGTTATCTGTCACCTGATTTTTCAATGGGACTTGTCAAAAACATAAGATTTTATTATTTTTTATTTTAATTTAATTTTTTGGGCCATGCCATGCACAGGGCTTGTGGGATCTTAGTTCCCTGACCAGGGATGGAATCCCAGACCTCAGCTGTCAGACCATGGAGTCCTAACCACTGGACTGCCAGGGAATTCCCCAAACGTAAGAATAAGCAATTGTACAACCAAGGATATTAGATTTCTCAGTGTTGTGATAAGGGTCAGGAGCAGACTGTCCGCTTAAAGACATGGTCCTACTTAGAGAGCATGGTGCCTGGTGGGGGATGTGGTCTGAGGGCCCCTGGGCAGGGATAGTGAACCACGCTCTGGGGGAGATTCTGGACTTCCAGGGTGCATCAGTGTGTAGGAAGCACCAGGAGGGCTTCCTGGAGGAAGTGATGGATGTCATAGAAATTGGCCACATGACAAAGGAGGGGCGTCATCCCATCAGAGGGGTGCCCTCTCCTCCTTCCATCTGGGCTGAGTCCTCTGGATGCCTTCATTCAGGTGTCACAGCTCTGAGACCACAGGCCAAGAGGGAAGTGGTGTGTGAATCAGGTCCAGTGTAGGGCAGTGGGGACTGTGACGGCCTCAAGTGACCTGGAAAGCCTGTATGCTGCCTGAAACTCACCAGGGGACAAGACGCTGCACACAGCTGGCAGCCTGCTAGGGACCCACCTCCGGTGGGCCAGACACAAGCAAGGCATCATGGGCACCTGCTGGCGTCAGCCTTGCTCTCCTGCCTCCCAGGTGCTGAAGTGGGTGGAGTCAGCCATCCAGGCCTCCAAGGTTCACCTGCTGTCCACGGACCATGAGGAAGGCGGCGAGCACACGTGGAGGATCCCCTTTGACCCCAGCCTAAAGGAGGTTACCATCTCCCTGAGTGGCCCAGGGCCCGAGATCGAAGTCCGAGACCCGCTGGGTATGTGAGCCCCAGAGCTGGCCTCCTCCTTGGCCCTGAGACTGAAATAAAAGTCCAGGATGGGACAGAGAGGAGGCCAGGGGATTTTGGACACAAGACTCCAGGAGCATGGAGGGTAAGGGAGATGCTGAGTCAAGGGCAGAGAGGGTGCCTACAGTGGGTGAGGATTCAGGGAGGCCATTAGCAGCCCAGCGAGGGGAATTAAAGTGATGACAGTGCCCGGGGCTGCCAGATTCACATGGCATCTTCCCTGGGTTCTCTCTTCAGTGGCCTGAAGAGTCAATGGGGCAAGAATTAGTGGCACAGTGCAGAGATGAGGGCTCTGGGAGGTGGGGTGACTTGTCAGGGTCATGCAGGCTCCATATGATCTGGACCCGGCTGCCTGGTGCTGTGGTGTTCCAAGGATGTCCTGAGTACTCTGGTCCAGAGGCCAGGGGTACAGCCAGCACCTGGGGAGGGATGAAGATGGAGAGCCAGAAGAGGGAGAGGCCCGGGTACCACCAAAGGCCTCTTGTCAGTTCCTCTAGGAAGCCCAAGGCAGGTGTTGGAGGGCTGGAGGTTCCTGGGGATGGGGAGGAGTGCTCTGTCAACCCCAGAAAAGAGTCGGGGGCTGAGCAGGTGCTGGGGCTTCCACAGGGAGGATCCTGCAGAGAGATGACGGCCTCAATGTGCTCCTCAGCATCCCTGACTCCGCCAGGGTCGTGGCCTTTAAGCCCGAGCATCCCGGGCTGTGGTCCATCAAGGTAGGAGGCCTTGGGTTCCTGCGGTTGGGGAGACCAGCTTCACCAAGCTGAGACACCATCTTCCTCTTGCCTGGGCCCTCGGGAGCCTAGGGCCCTGGGAAGCAGAGGGTTGGAGTGTGGGCAGTGATGTGGGCATATCAATAGAAGTAAAGGGGCAAGATCAGAGGAGGAGTGTTCTGCTTTGCACCAGTGAGAGAAGTGGAGTGGTTTGGGGTAAGTGAGGGGACTTCAGAGAAGGGCTTGGAGAAACCACTCGAGTGTCCACAGGTGGGCGACGGGGGTGGCTTGGGACCCTGTCCTTTGAGGAGTGTGCAGAAGAGGCTAGGGTGACCTTGGGCTCAGAGGCACAGGGCTGGCAGGGGGGCAGAGTCTGTTCCAACCTGCCAGGGGCTGGGGGCCTGGGGCTGGGGGCAGGGCTCCCGGCCAAGCACCCTGGGATGGGGTGGGCTGCTGTCTCGGGAGCACACAGCTGATCAGCAAATAGTTCTGGAGCCCTACTGGGTGCTGGGCTTCCCTGGTGACTCAGTGGTTAGGAACCCGCCTGCCAAGCAGGAGACTTGGAAGACGCAGGTTCAGTCCCTGGGTGGGGAAGATCCCCTGGAGAAGGAAATGGCAACCCACTCCAGTATTCATGTCTGGGAAATGCTATGGACAGAGGAGCCCAGTGGGCTACAGTTCACGGGGTCGCAAAAAGTCAAACACGACTGAGTGACTAAACCAACGGCAACTGGGTGCCAGGCACAATGCTGGGTGCTGCGGGCACTGCCAGCCTTCAGGTTCGGAGCGTCTTTGGGCTGAGAGCTCTCATGCCAGTGGGGAAGGCAAGGCAGGGGTTAGAGGGTTAGATGTGCAGGGGACAGAGGGGACCCTTGGGTGTTGGGGTGGGAGTGGAACGACAGGGCCGCTTTAGAGCCCCGCTCAGGCAGTGCCATGGCTGGTTTCTTCCTCCCCAATGGGGCAGTATCGTGCTAGGTCCCCAGGGATTGGGTGAGTCACCCACAAGTCTGCAAAGGCGGGAGAATTCCAGCTGCTGACTCCAGGCCGGGTCAGGTCAGCCACCTCCCACCTGGAGCTGGGGGGCTGGGGTCAGACACCCTGGTGACGTGAGCCTGGGCCTGGGCTAGGTCTACAGCAGTGGCCGCCATTCGGTCAGGATCACGGGCATCAGCAACATCGACTTCCGAGCTGGCTTCTCCACTCAGCCGTCCCTGGACCTCAACCACACCATTGAGTGGCCCCTGCAAGGTACGGTGCTCCGGGCCCTGGGGCGATGCAAGGCTGCCTCCTGCAGGGGTGGGGTTCACCTTTGGGAAGTTGAGGGTTGCAGTTCCGGGGGGCAGCCATGAGCCTGTGACTATGGAGTAGGCTTGCAGGGGTTGGTCCAGCCTCTCTCTCACATCACAGTGAACTGCACCCAGGGCTAGCACCTGCTCTTTGGGCTCCAGCCAGGGTGACCCTGGGACCGTTTACTTTTAGAACTTCCTTCCTGTCCCTCAAGGGCTCCACAAGCTCAGACTGTCCCCCTAACCCTCCTTTCCCTTTCTCTTTGTCAAGATTTGCCTGTCTAGAGCCCCACTTCTTCCAGTGAACATCAGGCTGTTGTTCAGGGGCTAAGTCACGTCCAACTCTCGATGACCCCGTGAACTGCAGCACACCAGGCTTCCCTGTCCCTCGTTATCTCCTGGAGTTTTCTCAAACTCACGTCCATTGAGTCAGTGATGCCATCCAATCATGTCATCCTCTGTCGCCCCCTTCTCCTCCTGCCTTCAATCTTTCCCAGCATCAGGGCTCAGAAATGTGGCCTCTTGCCATGAGGCTATTTGGAGGGTTTTGCTGGGACCGGCTGAACAGAGAGATGGGAGGGACTGGGTCAGAGCATATTAAAAAGCCGAGACATCACTTTCCTGACAAAGGTCCATATAGTAAAAAATATGGTTTTCCCAGTAGTCATGTATGGAAGTGAGAGTTGGACCATAAAAAAGGTTGATCACCAAAGAATTGATTCTCTCACATTGTGATGCTAGTGAAGACTCTTGAGAGTCCGTTGGATGCAAGGAGGCCAAACTAGTCAATCCTGAAGGAAATCAACCCTGAATATTCATTGGAAGTACTGATACTGAAGCTCCAATATTTTGCCCACCTGATGTGAAGAACCAACTCATTGGAAAAGACTCTGGTGTTTTCTGGGAAAGAAATCTCTGGGAAAGATTGAGGGCAGAAGGAGGAGGGGGTGACAGAGGATGAGATGTTTGGATGGTGTCATGGACTCAATGGACACAAGTTTGAGCAAACTCTGGGAGACAGTGAAGGACAGGGAAGCCTGGCATACTGCAGTCCCATGAGGTCGCAAAGAGTGGGACTCGGGGACTGAATAACAGCAAGGTCAGGTCAGATAATTCTGGACCACGGAACAGTGACCCCAAAGTGTTGATGCTGGGTCCTTAGGGCTTTCTTTTGAGTCTATATGTCCACTAATGTTTGTCATTCTTGTCAGCCCTTGTGGGTTTCCCTGCCAGGACCAGCAGCGATATCTTCAAAATGAAAAGTGGGCTGCTTGTTCATTCTGTTTGTTTTTGCCAATAGCAAGGGGGTGGGAGGGAGGCAAGCCAAGAGAGATGAGAAATCCTAAGTGAAGTGCTGTTGGGGTGGCGGGGGGAGAGTTTGAAAGCAGAGTGGTCCTCAGCTACAGTCCCCGTGGGAAAGGGTGAAGGGGGCCACGTGTGACCCTCTTTGGTTTCTGCTTTTGATAAAGATGTGGCTCCATCCAAGACATTTTTTAAAAGCGAGAAAAACAGCAGGGCAATTGCAAATGATAAATGATGATTGGCACTTGACCCCAGGGCACCAGGCAGTGGGAGAGGCTGCAGCGAACTGAACAGTGGGGGTCTGGGCCACGGGAGCAGCTGCTATGTGCCTTTGGCTGGTTATTGTAACATGGGAAGGAAGCCCAGCACTGACACACTCGAGTTTTCAAAGAAATCTGGGCTTCTAGATTTGAACATGCCCTTTCTAGACTGTTTGATATTTTTTTCAAAAGATGGAAGGCATTTCATGGATCATGTCTACCACATCCTTTGGTTCCCAGTTTATGATGAGAGAGAGAGAGAGAGAGAGAGAGAGAGAGAGAGAGAGAGAAGAATAGCTTTCTGAAAAGGGAGAGACCTAACAGTTTCCAAATCAACTTAGAAGATTGTGAAACCCAAGTCTAGTTCTGGCTTTCCTGGGATGATGTGGAAAGTACATTTCCAATGAGATGGGAAGGGAAACCACAGGAAAGCCAAGCAGGAATCAGCATTCCCAAACTGGGGTGTGTATCTCACCCAGATACACATCTCGGCCAGTCCCAGAGCCTGTCGGTTGACAACCAACACCAGAGTTAGTGGCGGGATGGGAGGGTGCCCTTTCTCAGCTCTGCTCCGTGAGCGCCCCAGTCTGCAGGGCAGAGGTGGCGCAATCATGGGAAGCCATGGGCCGGAGGAGAGTGCTGTTTCAGGACCACGGACAGTAGCAACCCCCCTTCTCTCCTCATCCCACCCAGCATTCCTTGGCCTGGGGAAGAGAAGGTGAGGGAACGGGTGTAGGCGGACCAAGCAGGCTGGGCCCCTAGCCATGGCCCTGGGGTGGGGCCCCTGCTTGGGGAGTTTCGTGGAGCCCAGCGCAGGTGCCAGCACCTCCTTCCCCGCCCTTTCCTCTGCAGGCGTGCCCATCTCCCTGGTGATCAACTCCACGGGCCTGCGGGTGCCTGGCCGCCTGGACTCAGTGGAGCTCTCACACAGCTCAGGGCGGTCCCTCCTGACTTTGCCCACACAGCCCCTCTCCAACGGGTCAACCCACCAGCTGTGGGGTGGGCCGCCCTTCCACAGCCCCCAGGAGCGTTTCTACCTCAAGGTGAAGGGCAAGGATCATGAGGGAAACCCTCTCCTCCGTGTTTCCGGAGTTTCCTACCGTGGGGTGACTCCAGGTGAGTAATTACTCCTACCACCCCCAGCTCCCTGGCTCCCTTGCAGGCTTATTTCTCCCTGGAAGGCTTTCCTGATTCAATTGGATTAGGAAATGTTTATTAATTAAGGCTCTGCAATACATTATGCCTAATACTGAGATGCTTCAAATGCAGTTTTCAGCTCCAGGGTTTACTGCAAAGTCATCTATGCATCTGTAAATCCATCCATGCATCTATCCATCCATCCATCCACCTGTGCATTCAACATTCACTTTGCATCAGTCATGGTTCTAGAAAGTGTAGCCACAACAGTGGGCAGGGCAGTGAGTATTACGCCCTTGCATAATCATAATTACTATCATCGTTATAGCGATGGTAACACTAATCTAATCACCATTTTGAGTACGTCTCGTGGGACAATCCTGGGCCAAGCACTTGCCATGCATTTGTTCACTAAATGCTTATACCAGTTCCTTTTATTCCCCCTCCTGGTCTAAAGGGTTTCTTTTTATAATCTCTTGCATGCTCCTTGCAAAATCTATCTTTTCAAACCTTTTACTTTGAGATGTTCTTGAAGAAGTGAAGTGTGAAGTGCTAGTCACTCAGTTGTATCCAACTCTTTGCGACCCCATGGACCATAGCCCACCAGTCTCCTCTGTCCATGGAATTCTCCAGTCAAGAATACCAGAGTGGATAGCCATTCTCTTCTCCAGGGGTTCTTTCCAGCCCAGGGATTGAAACTTGGTCTCCCGCATCGCAGGCAGATTCTTGACTGTCTGAGCCACTGGGAAAGCCCAAGGTTACCATAAAAGGAGTAAATTTCTTCACTTAGCTTCTCCTGCATTAATATCTTCTTATTTTCATTTTGTAAAATTGAAGTTTAATTGCTTTACAATACAGTGTTAATTTCTGCTGCTCAACAATAGGGATCAGCTATATGCATACGTATATTCCCTCACCCCACCCCCACCCCTCTAGGTCATCACAGAGTGCTGAGCTGACCTCCCTGTGTTCTTACACCCAGTTTGAGATGTGTCTCCATTTTATTGCTGGGAAAGTGAGACCACTGATTGCGCAGGGTTGCTCGGAGGGTTGCATAAACTAATGTTCTTAACAAACAGGATGGCTCTCAGATGCTCAGAGGCTGTACCCAGGGTGTGGGGACCGTGAACCACACCCCTCCACATGGCTGCTGGCACTGTGATGTCACTGTAGGCACGAGTCACCTCGTGTCCCCACCTTTGGTCGTGTTGTGCTGTTTCCCACGTGTGTGGCCTCTGCGGGTTTCCCGTGTGTCCCAGAGGTCTCGGCATCCAGGCTGGAGGCTCCCGGAGGGCAGGGCGGCACCTCTGGCTTTCCATCTCTGCCTCTGGCCCTGGGGAGTGGGGTCTGAGTTCACTGGGCACCACTCCCCTGGTGGTGACCCAGGAGGAGCTCAGAGGTGGGTGACACTGACATCCCACATCAGCAGTGCTGGGGGTCTCAGGCTCCCCTGGCCACTTCACTTAGGGATGCAGAGAGGGTGCTGAGATGCCCGTGGTGAGATGGGGGACTTTGAGGACCTGAGTGGGGCAGGGAACTGCAGGCCTAGGGGCTTGGGACCCCTTCCTTCCGTCTCCCAGCTTCTACTCCCCGGCTGTGGCCCCCCGGGCTCCTCCTGCCTTGACCTTTGCAGCTTTCAGGAGGCATTTTCAGGCAGGAATCTCAGCAGGGAGACTAAAGCAGCCTTTCTCTCTCTCTCTCCTCTTTTCTCAGATGGCTCCCAGAGCTGGGGGGTTAGTTAAGTTCTGGCTTTCGGTCTCCATGTCAGCTCTAGATTAAAGGATGGGGGTGGAGTGGGGAAAAGATGTGGTTTTGGTGGGGGGGTTGCGCCCCCCCCCCCAGGTCTGGGAGGCTGGGAGTTTGATTGGGAGCAAAAGACTCTGGGTTTGGAGGCATGGGGGTGGTGGGTCCGGGGGTCCCTGGGCTTCTTTCAGCCCAAGGAAGAGGGAGCCAGAGGCTTGCAGTGTGTGGGGGTGAGCCGTGGCTGCCGCACGCACAGCTGAGGACGTGGCTGCATGGTCCGACACCCCTCTCCCCTGGGACGTGGCAGGGAGCCCGTAACATGATGTCACCGCCGCCCTCCCACCCCCAGCGCTATGCTCGGAGGAGGTCTGGCCCATTGTCTCACCCTCGGAGCATCTCTGGCGGGGATGAGGGAGAGGGCAGCGCAAGGGTTCCCCACAAGTCTGCAATCGCCCAGCGAGGCATGGACGGTCCAAGACTGACCCTGGGGGTCAGTTCTCAGACGTTTCCCCTGAAGTGACTCCAAGAGCCAAGGAAAGACTATGTGTCACCCCAAGTCCAGGGTCAGGTGGGAGGAGGCAGTGGCATCTGATGGGGGTCCCCAGAGGCTCATCCGAAGCTGTGAGATTACATGGAAATCTCTTATTTTATCTTGAAAATGCGTGTGAACTCTGTAGTCACAGCCATGCTCCAACTAGGCTGATTTTTAAATTAAAAAACAAGGCTTCCCGCCCACAGCTTGTGAGTAAAACTGACCCTGCAGGAGGGGCGAATGATGCACAGCCCTCCCCAGGCCCCTGGAGAGTATCATCTGGGGAGCATTTCATCAGATTTGAGGGCTGGTTCGACTTCTCTGTCGCCCACACAATTGACACAATGGTAGCACAAGTTGTAAAACCCCCACAAGTCTTCATGGAAGGAGCTGGCCCTGCCACGTGTGTGTGCCAAGGGCTTCCCACTCACCACCTCTCACCGGCAACTCACCACAGCTCAGTGAGGTCACTAATGCCATTAACCCATTTTACAGAGGTGAAAACTGAGGCTTAGGGAGGTGATGCCCCCTGTTCTTGGTGGCCACCGGATGGTGAAGCTGGAGATGGAAGCCCTGCCTTCTGGCCCCTGGTCATCCTTGTGGGTCTCTGTGTTGCTAGGTGTGTCGAGGGCAGACTGAGGGGGAGGGCAGGGAGGAGTCCTGAGTGCTGGTCCTTGCCCACAGGTGCCCCCCTGGTCAGCATGCCGCCCAGGATCCATGGCTACCTACACCAGCCTCTGCAGGTCTCCTGCTCCGTGCACAGCGCCCTCCCCTTCCGGCTGCAGCTGTGGCGGGAGGGAGTCAGGCTGGGTGAGGAGAGGCGCTTTCGGTGAGTGGTTCAGGACTGCCCATTCTCCCCAGTCCCAGGGCTCCTGGGGGCCTGATGTCCTGGAGGGACCTAAGGGGAGCGTGGGTGGCACACGTGGGGCCTTGGTCATCCTTCTGGGCACCTCCCAGCTTGGCCAGGGTTGGGGGAGAGTGGGTCCCTGAGGCTCCCACCACTGCTGGGCCATCACTCCTTGGATGAGCCATAGGCCTTCCTCAGATTCTGAAAATTCAACCCGTGAAGGCCCGGCTCTGTGCTGGTCAGCGCAGGAAGGACCCTCTGAGACCTTCCCTCCTATGGTTGGAAGCCCAGGGCTCAGAGAGGGGAAGGGACGTTCTCAGAGTCACATGGCATATCGTTGGGATTTGCACATCCTTAGCTGCCTGTCTCTTCTTACCAAGTCTCTGAGAGGTTTGGGGGCCTCTTTCTGGGCAAGATTCAGGGGGTCAAGCCCCCATCCGGAAGCCTGGATAAGGCCGGGGAGCCCTGATGGGGGGCAGTGCGGTTGTGTGTCCCCAGCTCTTCTGTGTTTGCAGGGAGTCAGGGAACAGCAGCTGGGAGATTCCTTGGGCCTCCAAGGCTGAAGAAGGCACGTACGAGTGCATGGCAGTCAGCCGGGCTGGGACCGGACGAGCAAGGGCTCAGATCGTCGTCACAGGTCTGTCCCCTTGGGCCCGTCCTGACTCTTCCCTGTAGGATTCCCTCCCAGGCTTCCTCCATCTGTGGGTGAGTGTGCCAGCCAGCTGCCGGGGGCCGTCCGTCATCCAGAGCCCGACGCCCACGCTGCACCTGCCTGCCGGCCTTTGGTTTGGGCCATCTGCCCCACGAGTGGCCTGTGGTTGCAGGAAGGTTGAGAACCCCAGCTCGGGGCTCCGCCTCCCAGTCCCCAGCCTCAATCCCACCCTTGACTTCTTGGTCAGCCCCCAGACCCTTACAAGGGCCACCGTCCACCTCGTCCCCAACCCGTAATGCCTCCAGGTCCTGCCGCCGTGGCAGCGGTGAACTCAGGAAGGTTGGAAATGCCACAGATCCTCTTTCAATGCAATTGGCTTTATTTTTAAAATAATGAACCTAAGCTGCCTTGATGGGCTTTCCCAGTGGCTCAGTGGTAAAGAATCTGCCTGCCAATGCAGGAGACACGGGTTCAATCCCTGGGTCGGGAGGATCCCCTGGAGGAGGAAATGGCAACCCACTCCAGTATTCTTGCCTGGAAAAATCCCATCGACAGAGGAGCCTAGCGGGCTACAGTCCATGGGGTCGCAAAAGAGTCGGACACGACTTAGTGACTAAACAACCACAAAGCTGCCTTGAAGAAAAGGGGCCCAAAGAACATAGAGGGATCAGTCACTCTGCATTCCTAAACTCACTCAAAATCACTCATGCTCCCTGTAGGAAGACTGGAAAAATATAAGCCAACAGAAAAGATGGAAATGACCTGTGACCCCTCCACTCTAGAGATGACTTTGACAGCATTTGCTTTACTTCTTTTTGGACCTTTATCCATGTGTGCATTTTAAGAAAAATGGGATAATATCGTACATACTTAGAGCAACGTGATTTGATGTCTGGAGTCAAATTTCCCCATTAGACATCATGGTCATTGGCATGTGGACCCAGCTTTTTTCCTACAGGTCCTGCAGACCGTCCTTGATTAGGTGGTCTCTGAGCTGTCACTTCTTAATGTTTTTTTCTTATTGAGAGTGTGGGTTTCTAAGCTCTTTCTTCTTTGGGGGCAGTGGCCTTCCTTACTTAGTCCACATTTGGCTGCTGTTTATACAGAGAATAGCTCTGTACTTGTTACTCTTTTCCAGTTAAGGGTGATTTCCAAGACTTTATCCACCAGTGTGGAATTATTGGGGTTTCCCAGGTGGCTCAGCGATAAAGAATCTGTCTGCCAATGCAGAAGAAACTGGTTCAATCTATGGGTCGGGAAGATCCCCTGGAGAAGAAAATGGCAACCCACTCCAGTATTCTTGCCTGGGAAATCCCATGGACAGAGGAACCTGATGGGCTACAGTCCATGAGGTCACAAAAAGCCAGACACAATTTAGTGACTGAGCATGTACGCTTGTGGAATTATTGCCTCAAAGGGTGTGAAGTGTGGGTTGTTTGTTTATTTTAGTCGTTGCATCATGTCTGACTCTGAAACCCCATGGATAGGAGCCCGCCAGGCTTCTCTGTCCACGGGATTTTCCAGGCAAGAATACTGGAGTGGGTTGCCATTTCCTTCTCTAGGGGATCTTCCTGACCCAGGGATTGAACCCAGATCTTCTACACTGGCAGGTGGAGTTTTTACCACTGAGCCCTGGGAAAGCCCGGAAGAATGGGCTAACTCTTGTTAACTTTTGCCGTTGGCTGTTGAATGGAAATCAGGCACGCATGCACGCACACACACACACAGCCCCCAGGCGGGTGTGAGATGGCCATGGGGTGGCATCGTCCAGGCATGATGAGCAAATGCTGGTGAACTGCTCTGCTGGGGGATGCAGTGGACTCTGGGGTCTGGACACCACCAGGGCCTGCAGAATGTCCCCTTCCCCGTGCCAACCTCTCAGTGCCTCCTGCGCTCCTGTTCCTGCAGACCCCCCTCCGCAGCTGGTCCCTGTCTCCAATGTGACCGTGTCCCCGGGAGAGACCGCCATCCTGTCCTGCCTGGTCCTGAGCGAGGCTCCCTACAACCTTACCTGGGTCCGGGACTGGCGAGTCCTGTCGGCCTCGACGGGCAGAGTCACCCAGCTGGCCGACCTATCCCTGGAGGTCAGGAACACCACCCCCAGCGACGGCGGGCGGTACCAGTGCATGGCCAGCAACTCCAATGGAGTCTCGAGGGCATCCGTCTGGCTCCTGGTGCGAGGTGAGGCTGCTCACTACCTGGCATTTCTCCAGGAGCCCATCCGTCCATCCCTCTGCTCAGACATCAGCTCTGGCAGGCAGCATCAGCCCTTCCAGAGTTTTCTCAACCTTCGGAGTAAGAGGATTCTGTAGCCTCCCAGCCTAAGTGTAGTGGTTCGGCACTGTTGGGAAGTTCATCCTCATATCTAGCCTCAATTTCTACTGCTGTCGGCCAAGCCAATTTCACTGTGTCCTGTCCTCTTTCTGGGTCATTGAGCACTTCCATTGTCCAGCCCTCTCGGTATGCAGGACAGAGATGGGACACTGGAAACTTCTGGAAGCCCAGAGATCAGATATGCTTAGCAGGGTTTGGGTAGCGCTGACCAGCTGGGGGTGGAGGAGGCAGTGAGAGGAAACACATCCAGAGGGTTAGTGCCTGGATTAGGTACTCACCTGGGATTTAGGTCCACTCAAGATTTAGACGCATCTTGCTCTTCTAGGGACCTATCTCCCAAGTGTAAAAGTGAGTATGTTGGAACAAATCTCTCTCTTGTGCCAATGACTGTGGATTGGCTGCTTAGAGTGTGTTGAGAAAGATTCTGAGGCCATATCGAGGCTGCTGGTATAGGAGGGGCTCAGCTCAGAGCAGAAATTCAGGGAGCTCAAGGTTCCCACCAGGGGCGTTAGGGAATTCAGGTCCCTCTGTGGCCCGGGGATGTGCCTGGGGGCTGCCTGGTCAACCCTGGTTCCCTGAGAAGCCAGTCACAAGGATGCAGGTCCCTCGGGCCCTTCCTTCCTATGTCTGTGGCTGCGGGGAGGAGCGGGGGCCCAGTGCTGGGTGCCTGGGACAACACGGCTGCTCTGACAAGCTTCTCCCCACCTGTCCACTCCTTGAACCCCAGAGGCCCCGCAGGTCAGCATCCACACCAGGTCACAGCGCTTCTCCCAGGGCATGGAGGTGAGGGTCCGCTGCTATGCCTCCGGATACCCTGCACCCCACATCTCCTGGAGCCGCGAGGGTCGCGCCCTGCATGAGGACAGCAGGTGAGGGCCTCGGGGACCTCTCTGGGCCTCAGTCTTCTTAACTGTAGCAAATGGGGAGTGGCATTTGCCCTGCCTTCCTCCTGATGATTTGAGACTCAGGAGCAAGATCATTTGGGAAACATAGCGATGCCTCATGTGGGTTCTGGAGTCAGGCGTTCCAGCTGCAGGATCTGGTAGACCTGTGCTTGCATTCTGCCTCTGCCATTCAGGCTGTGTGCCTCTGGGCAAGTCGCCTTACCTTTCTGAGCCTGATGAATGAAAAAGGAACATAAAAAGTGATGAACCTATAGCCTGGCACAGAGCAAACAGTCAGTGTAAAACAATGTCACCGGTGATGTCATTAATTAATCTGCTTTTAATAATGACTGGGGCAACCTCATGAGACCCAACCTAACCGGCCCCTTCCTGTTGAACACATTTCGTGGCACGACTCCAGAGTCCGCGTGGATGCCCAGGGAACACTGATCATTCAGGGGGTGGCCCCAGAGGATGCGGGGAGTTACAGCTGCCAGGCTGCTAATGAGGTTGGCAGAGATGAAGAGACGGTCACCCTCTACTATACAGGTACTTGGGTCAAGGGCATTTGCAGAAGAGGGTCCCCAGGCCTGCCTTCCCCCCTCGCTCCCTTTCTCCCTCTCGTCCTCAGATACTTAGGAGTATCTAATGTGTGGCAGACACTGGGATACAATAGTGAACACAGGGTCCCCGTCCAGGTAGAGGTTACATTCTAATGGGGAAGCAGAAAGAAAAACATGCAGATAAATAAGGTACTTTCAGATGGTGAGGGTATGGGACGAGCACAGAGCAGGGTGGTGTGATGGAGCGACGTGTAGCTGGGCAGAGAAGGAAACGTACACACAGGATCAAACTCCTGCCCCAGATGGGAATGGGAACAGTGTTTCAGTGAGAGAGACAGGGTGGGGCAAAAGCCTCGAGGTAGGAATGGCCCCTGGGGTCTCCAAGGGGCTGCAAGGAGCAGGAGACTGGCTGGAGTCAGGGGCCAGGGAGCCCTGAATAAAATAAATAAAAAATAAATAAAAAAGAGTGTATGTATATCTGACTCACTTTGCTGCAAGCAGAAACTAACATAACATTGTAAATCAACTATACTTTAAAAATAATCTTTAAAAAGTATATATAAGAAAAAGGAAATATAAAGTGTTTAGAGGTAAAGGGATATCATATTTGGAACTTATTCTCAGCCATTTAGAAAAAAAAAAGAATACAGAGAGAATTCCATCATGATAAAACAAAACGAATATGGCAAAAATGTTAACATCTGGTGATATGTGTGAAAGGTACATGAAGAACCTTTGTATTATTCTTGCAACTTTCCAGTGTGAAATTATTCAAAATAAAAACTTTAAAAAAAAAAAAGAGGACAAGAACGGAGTTTAGTCCCAGGAGTAACTGGCTATTTAAAAACCGGCCGAGGCTGCATCTTTCTGGGGGTGACTGTCCTGGTTGGTGGGGGTGGGGAGGAGGCAGGTGCTCAGCCCACCCTAGCCCCTCTGACTCTCCCCCAGCTGGGGAAAACGGCACTGTCGCTCTAGGGAGTCTGTGGCTTGGTCCCCAATTCCCCGTCTGCTCCCCACACAGACCCACCATCCGTGTCAGCTGTAAACGGCGTGGTACTGGCTGCCGAAGGGGAGGAGGCGGTGCTGGCATGCGAGGCAACTGGGGTGCCCCCGCCCCGGGTCATCTGGTATCGAGGTACATGATTGGGTGGGGAGAGGGGCCTCCAGAAGGGGTCTGCGGGGGGCCCTGGAGGATCAGCTTTCCAGGATGGTCATGGGGGGCACTCGGAATGGGGTGTCTGGGGAGAAGGACTGTTTCGAGCAGCCCCCATCACCCCTAGCCCAGTATCCATATATAACTGATGCAGACTGGCTCTGTGATCAGGAGCAGGATTTAGAGTAGACACAGATTTAAATTCTGGCCCCCCCGAGTGGCCTCGGACAAGTGGTTTGGCAAGTGTGAGCCTGTTTCCTTAGTTGGAAAATCAAAGACAGTTTGTTTCTTACCTAACATTTCTCTTGTTTATTTGGCTGCATCGGGTCTTAGTTGCTGCACATCGGCTCTTTAGATGTGACAGATGGGATCCACCTCCCCGACCAGGGATCGAACCCGAGCTCCCTGCATTGGGAGCTCGAAGTCCCAGCCACTGGACCACCAGTCTCTGAGATAGGCTGGTTGTGTGAGGATTAAATGAGTCCATATGTGCAAATTGTTTAGAACAAGCCTGGCCCACGGCCTGGGCTGTGTCCTTAATGGTGGTGATGAAGATGCTGTGATTATCAGGGAGCTGGCAGTCGTGGTGAGAGTTCTGTTATGAGGCTTTTCTGAATTAGTAAGTGTAGAGGGTTTTCTGTGTGTTGGACCCCAAGCTGGAGTTTGATCGACAGGAGCCACTCTTGCACCCACACCAGTGGACTTGGGTCCTTGGGCTCCTGCCTTGGACTTTCCAGGGCAGAACCCTGGGCTCCTTCTCAAGCACAGCCCCCTCCCATCCAGATGCACTCCAGTCTTGGCAGCACCTGTCTGATCTCAGCAGAGCCTCACCTTGACCCTGACAGGCAGCGTTAGCTCAGAGTTTGAGCATTTTGTCCATGGTCACCAGCTAGTGGCGGGACTCTTTCCTCAGGGTGTGGTCACTGCCTGTCGTGGCTGGGAGCTCTACCAGCCCAGCCCGGGAGCCGCCTTTTTACAGGGGGTCTCCCAGTGGAATGGCTTCCCAGGTGGCATTAGTGGTAAAGAATCCGCCTGCCAATGCAGGAGACGCCAGAGACGCCAGTTCAACCCCTGGGTCGGGAAAATCCTCTCTTGATGAGGCAATGGCTACCCAGTCTAGTATTCTTGCCTGGAAAATCCCAGGGACAGAGGAGGCTGGCGGACTACAGTCTGTGGGGCGGTAAAGAGTCGAACTGAGCACAAATGCACACTATCCCTTGGAATGTTATTCAGCCTTAAGAAGGAATGAAATTCAAGTTATACAACAATGTGAATATAGTTACCATTGAACTGTGCACTTGAAAATGATTAAGATAATGCATTTTATGAGTTTTTTAACCACAATTAAATTTTTTCTTAATTAGTCTCCCATGACAAAGAAAAAAATTAGAAAAAAAAAATCAGGCCCATAGCAGCTACTGTGTAAAAATTTCCCCCTACTTCTAATTGGCCAAATGAAGAAAAAAATATTTTATCTGTGACATTTTCAGAGACATTTGCTCTAATATGGGGTATTTAAGTAGTAAAATGTTAAAAGAAAAGATAAAAAAAATTTTAATTTGGAAAAAAGGAATGCAATTTTTATACAACATAGATGAACCTTGAAAACACGATGCTAAGCAAAATAAGCCAGACACAGAAGGACAAATATGTGATACCACTTAACTGAGTGGGATCTCTTATAAGAAATGCCTAGTATGTGCAAATTTAGAGACAGAGAGGAGATGCCAGGGGCTTGGGGAGGGGGAAATGGGGAGTTAGTGTTTAGTAAGTAGGGCTTCCATTTGAGAAGATGAAAAAGTTTTGTGGATGGATCATGGGGATGTACCTGATCCCGCTGAATTGGACACTCAGTGCTTAAAATGGTAAAATCTTGTGTTATGTATATTTACCACAATTTTGAAAACAAAAAATTTAAATTAAGTTGTAAAAAAAGGTTCAAATCAGGGTGGTCCTCCAGGCCTTCGGAGCCTGGAGGGGTGGGAGTCAGGGAACAGTAAGAGAAATGAGAAAAAGGCATCAGAGAGGGAGAACTGGGGGGGGAAGGTGGGGGTCTTCTCCCAGAGCTGACCCAAGCCTCAGTCTGCCCCCGAGCAGAGGGCGGGAACCCAGGAGGGAGACCCAGGCAAGGCGTTCTTGGGTGATGAACCTGTCACATGCGAGGGGGCAGGCTGAGACTCACTCTTGGCCAACAGAGGGACTCAGGGAACTGGATTCAGGGGTGCTGATCTAAAAGAAAATTTTTTTAGCTGTGGTAAATTGTGCATAACATATCCATTACCCTCTTAACCGTCTTTAGGTATATTCACATTGCTGTATAACCACCACCACCCGTCTCCAGAACTCTTTTCATTTAGCAAAACTGAAAATCTGTGCCCATTAAACAATAGGGGTCCTGATTGCAGGCTAGGGGATCTTTACCTCACCCACACCCCTCTGAGGTCCCAGCCTTGTGGCATCGCAGGAACCCAGGTTCAGGAAGGCAGCCTGATCCCCGGGCCTCCTGTGGCAACCATGAGTACCTGCCTGATGTTTTCTCATCTTTGGTCCAGGGGATCTTGAAATGATTCTGGCCTCTGAGGACTCCAGCTCTGGGATGCTGCAGATCCCAGTGGTTCGTGAGAGGGATGCTGGCGTCTATACCTGCCGAGCTGTCAATGAGTTGGGCGACGCCTCTGCAGAAATCCGACTGGAGGTTGGACGTGAGTGTACACCTTGTCCCCTGCTGTGCCCTGCCATCTGCCCTACTTCTGAGCAGGGAGGAGAGAATGCTACCCTGTAGCCTGCCGGTGGGGAATTTGCATCATTTGGATCCAGAGCACGTGGGACAGGGATTTTAGAGGGAGATGGTGTATGCGTTACCACTTGCTGTGTAACAAATTGCCCTGAAACTCTGTGGCTTAAAACAGTGAGCATCTATTGATGCACAGTTCTGGGGGGCTAGGATTCTGGTTCTGACTCAGGGTCTCTCACGGGATGGCACTTATTACATTGGTCGGGGATGTGGTCATCTGAAGGCTTGACTAGGGCTGGAGGGTCCACCTGAAGTTCATTTATGAGGCTTTTATCAGGAAGCCTCTGTTCCTTACCCCACTTCTCGTGACATGGGTTTTCCTAGAGAAAGTGAGTTGTTGAAAGGGATAGACAGAATCCAAGGTGGAAAAGTTTAGTCTCAGTCGTGTCTGACTCTTTGTGACCCCATGGGCTGTAGCCCACCAGGCTCCTCCGTCCTTGGGATTTTCCAGGCAAGAGTACTGGAGTGGATTGCCATTTCCTTCTCCAGATCTTCCTGACCCAGGGACTGAACCCGGGTCTCCCACCTTGTAGGCAGATGCTTTACCGTCTGAGCCACTAGAGAAGTCTCTGAGCCACCAGGGAAGTAAGTCTTTATAGCCAGTTACAGTCTTGGAAGTGACATACCATCACCTGTTATATCCTATAGGTGACATGGACCAACCCTGGTATTGGTGAGTGGGAGAGACCCCTCAAGTGTGAGAGTCCCAGAAAGCAGGGGGACATTGCCCACCATGAAAATAGTTTGGACATCCAGCTTGGACATCGTCATCCCTGAGACCCGAGTTCCAGTCTTGTCTCCATCACTGACCATCTATGTGCTTTGGTCAAGTCATTGACCCTCAGTTTTCCCATCTGTAAAATGGAGCCAAGGGCTTCCCTGGTGGCTCAGCGGTAAAGAATCTGCTTGCTATACAGGAGAATTGGGTTCGGTTCCTGAGTTGGGAAGATGCCCTGGAGAAGGATATGGTAACCCACTGCAGTATTCTTGCCTGGGAAATCCCGTAGACAGAGGAGCCTGGCGGGCCATAGTCCCTAGGGTCACAAAAGAGTCAGATACGACTTGGCAACTACACAACAACAAAGCAGAGCTGACCACACTACTTCCTTTGTTGAGTGGCTGGGAGGGTTCAATGAAATCAGACACATAACGTTCAGCACTGGGTTTGGCCCAGCATGGGTGTTTAATAAATGGAGAAGTGATTATTCCCTTTTTACAGATGGGGAGTCTGGATTCTTCTGTGGCTGGAACACGGCCTTGGCTGTGATTGCCATGAGTTCTTGGTCCCAGGCCTGGATCCCGGGCACTGGGAATTGCTCGGAAGTTGTGGGCACAGCTCCTTGGTGTGCTGAGCCAGAGCAGATGGGGCTCTGAGGGTCAGCTGTGGCCATGACGGGAAAGACAGGTGCTGAGAGTTTGGGGGAAGTGCGGAGAATGGGGAATGGGCTTGAATGGGCCGGATGGGATGGCCAGGGGCCTCCCCAGGGAGGCTTGATCAGGAGGGTCTGGCCCTGGGGGAGACGGTGCCATCTCAGGCTTGGGGATCCTCCCACGCGTGGGGGTGCCTTTAGTGTTCATTCATCTGTTCCATCGTTGCCATCCTTCAGCACGTGGTCACCAGGTGGCCAGGCCCTGTACCCCAGACCCTGGGTTGGGAATGCAACCGCATCAGCCCTTGTGTTATCCTTGGTGCCAAAAAGAGAGACAGTAAACAGACAATTAGAATGCTCAGTGTACTGAGTAATTGGAAGTGGCAACCGTGGGGCCTATGCCCAGAGAAGGGGGCTAAGCCAGCACCAGAGGCTGGGAAGGCTTCTTGGAGGAGTCGATGTCTAAGCGGAACCTAGAAGCAGTCAGGTGACGAGCTGCAAAAAAAGATCTGTACAAAAAAGATCTTCACGACCCAGATAATCACGATGGTGTGATCACTCACCTAGAGCCAGACATCCTGCAATGTGAAGTCAAGTCAGCCTTAGGATGCATCACTACGAACAAGCTAGTGGAGGTGATGAAATTCCAGTTGAGCTATTTCAAATCCTAAAAGATGATGCTGTGAAAGTGCTGCACTCAATATGCCAGCAAATTTGGGAAACTCAGCAGTGGCCACAGGACTGGAAAAGGTCAGTTTTCATTCCAATCCCAAAGAAAGGCAATGCCAAAGAATGCTCATACTACTACTGCACATTTGCACTCATATCACACGCTAGTAAAGTAATGCTTAAAATTCTCCAAGCCAAGCTTCAGCAA